ACACAAAACACTACACAGAAAACTGAACATTGAGCAATTAAACCCCCTACCAAAAACAAAAGACTCGGGCGAACTAAGGTGCTAAAATACGAAACTATGTTTACTAAATTAATATAGAAAATGAAACAAAACGAAAAGAAATGATGTTTCTGAAAATCTTCATAGTTACATGTAATACCCTTGTGGTGTTTTAATAACAAGGAACAAAATGATTGTTTCGTTACTTGAAATAACACAACACCTGCAATGACATTTTAAGAATCTGACTGAAATTAACAAGACTTGTATTTAGAAGGGATATTTTTCCAGGACCAATATTTCACATATGCATGTACATGAACTCAGATACTGCACTTGTAATAACCCTTGCATAAATGTAGTAATTTCATTAGTCTTAAAAGATCACTAGTTATAAATATAAAAGGAGTATTGTTTAGCGCTTCGTCTATAGTTACATGAAAACTTTGTAATTCAGACTCACATTTTAGAAAAGGGATATTGTACAACAATTACCTGGTGTAAGTTTGATGTTGTAAACTCTGTTATCAAACATATCATTCTGTTTAACAGAATATTCCTTCAGTATGTCTTTTGCATTATTGCTCATGTCCTTTTCTGTAATCAAATATGATCAAAATAAGATTATAATAAGATTTAAATTAGCTAATTATTCAGAAACTCTAAATCATATGTTTTATTTATGTTTTAATGTCCGTTTTCGAAGACACTATGCATAAAATTGAGAATGGAAATGGGGAATATGTCAAAGAGACAACAACCCGACCAAGAATCTTGCTAAAACGTGGACACAACATGTAAATCCTACAAAAGTGTTTTAATTGTATTAAATATTAATGTAATGTTGAATATGAACTCCGCTTTGTACCAAACAGACACGCTGAGCCAGATTCTGTTACGTGCTGGTTGATAAAGGAACAATTCGTAGGAAGACATGTTACCCTTCCTGACACACTACAATGCGTCCAAACCGGGCAGTCTTTCTCTTACTCTTTAATGCCACTTGCTTAAAGGAGAATGTTTGACCCGTTCGGGATCACGCTTGCACTATACCGCTATACCACCGAGATGGCTATGCATTAAAATTATATTAAATTTTGAATGGAAATGGGGAATATGTTAAAGAGACAACAACCCGACCAAAGAGCAAAAAACAGCCGAAGGCCACCAATGGGTCTTCAACACAGCGAGAAAATCCCGCACATGGAGGCGGACTTCAGCTGGCCCCTAAATAAAAATGTGTACTAGTTCAGTGAAAATGGACGTCATACTAAACTCCAAAACATATAAAAGGCCAGAGGCTCCTGACTTGGGGCAGGCGCATAAATGCGGCGGGGTTAAACATGTTTTGTGAGATCTCAACCCTCCCTATACCTCTAGCCAATGTAAAATAAAAAAACCCGCAGCAATACGCACAGTAAAACTCAGTTAAAAAGAAGTCCGAGTCCGATGTCAGAATAGGTAACAATGCTACATAAATAGCAAAGGACTATATACTAGCAGTTACTGACATGCCAGCTCCAGACTTCAATTAAACTGATTGAAAGATTATGTCTTCATCATGTGAAAATCAAGCACAATCCCTCCCGTTAGAGGTTTAGTATCATACCATCATAAAATATATGAGAAGAACATAACCCGTATCATGCCAACAACTGGTTTATTTCCGATGCAAAGACCCTATGAGTGAATCAATATTAATACCAAAATATGCCATCTTCAATGACCTGACAACAGTATCGTAACTATATCCCTTCTGAATAAGTCTGTTTAAAGATTTGGTTAGCTTTTGAGGTGAATGCCGACATTTTTGTGCTTTGTAAAGAATATTACCATAAAAGATTGGATGTTTAAATACCTGAACGTATAAGATGTCTGCATGTCGATTTATATTTACGAATGATGTCCTTGTACCGATGATAAAATTTAGTAAATGTTTTGACTAGTTTGTGATATCAAAAACCCTGGTGTAATAATTTTTCAGTAATACAGAGATTTCTTTCGTTAAAATCAAATACGTTGTTATATACACGAGCGAATCAAACAAGTTGTGATATATAAACACCATTAGATGGTGACAAGGGAACGTCATTATCTAACAATGGATAATTAACAATAGGAAATGAAAAAATCATCTCTTTTATCATAAATTTTGGTATTAAGCTTCCCGTTAAAGGTATAAATATCAAGATCCAGGAGAGGGCAGTGTTCATTGTTAGTATTAGCTTTATTTAAATCTCTTTAGTGTACATACTGAAGTCATCATTATTGAGAGCCAATATATCATCCAAATATCTAAAAGTGTTATTAAATTTTTGTATCAGATGTTGTTTCGATGGGTCTTTGCTGATTTTAGTCATAAATTGTAACTCATAACAATACAGAAACAGGTCCGCAATAAGTGGTGCACAGTAAGTCCCCATTGAAATTCCGATAACTTGACGATATACGGAATCTCCATAGCGAACAAAAATGTTATCTAGTAAAAATTCAAGGGCAGTTATAGTATCAAAGCAGGTCCAATTGACATAGTTCTTTTGTTTGTTGTTACTAAAAAATTACCTAAGAGAGTTTGAACATATATATTCGCATTCTGACTTTTTAAATGCCCATTTAATTAGGTGTGTGAATTTTTTTTAGTAGATTTAAATAGAATCTCGGAGTATTAAAAGTACTGAATGATTTTGTTAAGTTTTTACTGTCATACAATTCAACACGTTGAATGTAGATTAACTGTATACCGCCATCTTGGATTGTAAAATAGCAGTACACAATCGGTCTAGTTCTTTGCCTAAATCTGCAAATTTTGAGACAGATTGGCAATTAATGTGTAAGACTGTTGATTCGAATACAGAAAACTAAGTGGTAACCGTTTATTAAATTATTTTGATTATTACTACCAGGTGCATGTTTTTGTTTTTGTTTGAATCATTTTTTTTCAAATTAGCCATTTAAGTGGAGATTTTTATAAAGGATTTTGAAGAAATTTTCATTTTTTACTTTTAACCTAAAAACACAAATTCGGTGACAACATTTTTTCCTTTTATTTTATTAAAGCATATTATAAAACTTATCTTCTCATTTTTTATTTCAAAATTCTATCTCATAGATTTCTTTTTATTTACAAAAAATTTTGGCAATTTTGTAGGATTTGTAGCTTGAAAAACAGCACGGTGACCCATACTTTTTATTATATTCCTGAAAAAAAGCACTGTAAAATCTAAAGGTATAGGAAAATTCTATCTGAGGAAATATTTACCGATGGTCCACCTTAAATTGATGAAGACAAAAAAGACGCAAATAAAACATATTTTCTCATTTTATCGTTATCAGGAATATGTAAAGCCGCGTGTAATCTATAACACATATGTACATTGTACTTACTTAATATAACACTTGGTATAACAGGACATGTTATGATACCTTGAAGCTGGCATTTGTAATCTGTAAGACAATTAAACATACAAAAGAATAAACGATACTGCATGACAGGAACTACAAAAGATTGTTTTCGACCCTATATTTTATGATAGACAAGACAATAGCAAGGGATAACAATCACTTGATGCAGGGGTTAGAAGTCTTCGGTTATTTTCCTATGACGAAAATAAAGATAATTCCTTACTTATCGTAATGTGCCTATCCGTGAAATACGAATAATGTTTTCATCAAGAAATTATATATTATAGTTATTGTTAAAGTGATTTAGTGTAATTTAATTTGTAATAAAATGCCCGTGTATGATTGCAATGTCCCCAAAAGTAGTTGGTTCGCATGTATGTTGCGAGTTTTATCTTGTTAACTTTCAGTTTATTATTTAAGGAATGACTTTAATATAGTTTTTGTCTATGAAGAATTAACATAAAAATGTGGTGCACACTGAATAACCCGCGTAGCGAGCTATTTAAAAGTGTGCATCACATTTTTAAGGTTACTTCGAATAGACAGAAAAAATGTTAGTCATTCCTAATAATTTAGTTCTAAATTCCATTTTTAAGGAGTAAATCATAAAAAAACGTTGATGACGTCATGGTCACATGACAAAATTAAAGTTTATGAGCTGATAGACAAAAAACCTTTAGTCAATCAGAAGGCGTGTTACATCAAAAATTAAATTATTGAATTATAATTAACCATGTAGGCGAAGGCGAAGCAATTCTGCGCTGTACCCCTCTTTTAAAATGATCTTTAGTCACATTGTGTTTCGAATTTCAAACTCTTAGATTTACTTAACATCCCGAAGATGGTTTCAGTGTACCCACAATTCTTATAAAGTCCTTGGTACTTTTGGATTTGACGCCTTTTAAACTAGTAATTGATTACCCTTTACAACTGTCTTCATTCGAGTCTACATTTGAAAACGGAAAGCGTGTTTTGTGTACTAAATTATAAGCTAAGTATATTTGGTGTGTTTTTAAAAAGACATTGTGTTCAAGCATATTCATGTATATACTTTAGAAACCGAATGATTCATATTTATGCTTCATTAGTAGATTTGCAGTTTGATATTTTTTTTTAAACTGTTCATATATCTGCATACATGAGTGACTTTTATAGAGAATAATATTAATAGAGGTAAGCTTAAATAAAATACAAGACTAAAACATATGGACTGCAAGCATAATTTTTAACAAACATGTGGTCTAAAGAATTGATGAGTTGTACCGAAAATAATCTAGTGACGGTCTTTATTTTCTTCTTATTTTGGGGAATATCATTATAAATGTACATCTAGGATAAAAATCAGTGAACGAACTAATTTTCATCTATGATTGGAATAGCGTGTACGTAAAAGACTTTAACGTTTCAGTTTATATGCATGCATCATTTGCTTTGTTTGTTGAAATTTGTTGGCGCATACGGCATGTTGTAAGTTGTCGCAGTCATGTTTTGTAACTCTGGTTGCTCATTTATTGTCTATACGGTGGTTATCAACTAAATATACAGATACTGAGATAAATAAACAAGAGGCGAGTGGTTTAAAGACAAAATCATACCCCCGACTGTAATCACATCGACATGTTCTATCTTTATCCGGCTTTTCACTGAGGTCATGCATGAGTTGACCTGCACCATTACATCGTGTCTTTATGTACATGCATTTGTCATTTTTATTGTCTTCATTTGATGCGTATGGCATCGGTTGATACTGGCCATCGGGGCAATGTTTAGAATTGAGACCACCTTCATATAAAACATAACTGCCTAAAAAACAAAGGATAACATTGATATCGGAATCGATGCCTATGAAAATAAATCGATTTTAACCTTTATCCATGCATGAAAATATTCATTGCAAACGAAAGTGTAAACAATCATGCTTTAGTATAATAAAATAAGGAAATCCTGGTACGGTCAGAATGATGGATCGTTCGAGACTCAAAATTCAATTTCTATAGACATTCAATTTCGAAATATGCTTCGAAATATAATGTTTAGGTTGAAAAGGAGAGAATCAAGTGTCAATATATCAAAGAAGACAAAAGGAATGACAGCTTTATAAAAATGAGAAGATGTTGTATGATTGCCAATGAAGCAACTCTCCATGTGCGCACCAGAGACAAAATGACGTAGAAGTTAACAACTACCAAAGGTCATCTACGACCTTCATTTACAGCCTGGTATCATGTATAAATGTATTACCGATGTTTCATGCATATCTAGAACAAACCAGTTATGCTGTGGGATATCTTAAAAACGTAAGGTCGATAAAAATATAGGCGGTGAAAATAAGGTTAAGCAATCAAACATGATAGTTGTTTGCTTAATGTCTAGATGCAAATAGTGTACGCAACACAGGAACAAAATATAAGTATGAATCAGAAGGTAGGTATGTTCTGCAGTGTTAGTCAACCGGAATAAAAGGCGTGACTTTCAATTGCCACTAGACAATGAGGATTAGAACTGACAGAAACTGAGTCTTGAACATACCAAATTAGAACCCGCATAGATAATTTGCAAACGTCCATTAATGTGCAGTGAGTTTGAGACCCTACCTACACGAGGGATCATTTTTAATATCACCATTCTGTCCTGATATGTCTGCGTATATATGAATCCTACACAGCCAAACGAACGTCTCTCTGTAGAATCAGTTTAACCTTCTAGATTTGAGAAGTCCAATGGTTACCATATGTACATACCCCAGTCAATCCTTGGGGTCTGAAATAAAGATTCTTTGAATATTTCATTCAAAACAAGTCAATTGTTAAGGAGGAGTTGAGGATAAAAAACGCATACCCTCATCTGTTATGTTGAGTTCATGTTTTTCTATAGGAAAACCAAAAGAAAAATTCAACATTACTAGACAAGTCTCATATACAACATATCAAGCTTTGAACGACTAATAGTGAATATTGAACGAGGACTTTAATACCAAATTCCCTAAAGGATAAACAACGCAAAGGAAATAACTAAAGACTAATGAGGTTTCCAATTAGGGACAGGGGACAGACACATGGACATATGATGGGGTTAAATTAATTTTGAGGACTCACTTCATCTTCTTTTTAATTCAGATGAATGGAACAACAAACGGTACATTCAATGTAGAAGTCTATAGTTGCATCAAAAACAAGGTCAGCACTCTATAATGCTGGTATTAAGGACAACAAAATTACACGTCCGGGTAAAATAATATTATATTATTATCTTTAAAAACATCATATTTAAGAATGCACGTACTTACTGAATGCAAACTACAAGAATTGCACGAAATACATATATCATACAGCATTGATTTTAACATCGAACTCCGAAGAGTGTTTCTATTCGACCCAATCTCGGTTTCTCTTTTATTTGCTTACATTTTGCTACCAGGCTGAAGCTAGCGAACTATTACTAGTAAACAATAAGCCAGCAAACAATAAGACGATATATCTAAAAACCGAAAAACTACAACAGACAGCAACGGCCGTTCTGAAAAAATATTTAAAAAAGCAGAAAAGTCCGTCCAGAAATTGCAATTTACAGCTCAATCTTAAAATCAGATTTACCAAATCTATTATCAGAACAAATTCCGCCCATTTTTAGGTAAAATTCCGTATCGCGGTAAATCCGCACCTGTCAGCGGATAAGTTGTTAAAGCAACTGATTGAAATAAATTTTGTTAAAAACAATAATACAACTAGAAGAAATTAAAAGTTATTTAATTTGATCGGCGAAAAAAATTCAAATATAACAACATGACAATCCGAGTAGAAAGGTTGGAGTACAGAAAAGGGTGAGAGGGGTTGGGCTATTCCAAGTGCTTTTAGAGAAAAATAATTCGGGGTGTCATGGGGTATGGCTAAAGTATATAGGTATTGAAGAGAAGATAAGAGCGCATCGATCGTTTTTGCAAGGTTTCCAGAGTCGCTATGTTCCAAAATCTAATACTAGGGTTCGAAATTTGAAAAATTCGTACCAAAAATAGGGGGTTGGCCTATTCCAGGGCTTATTTGTTTATGCGTTTCTCTTAGATGAGTGTTCTTGCGTGTGGTTGTGCTGTATTTCTGTCACGTAGTGTTGTCATTTTAGCGATATTTTTTAACAGTGTCATAAAAAGTGGGAGGTTTGGCTAGCCATAAAACCAGGTTCAACCCACCATTTTTTCTTAAAATGTCTTGTACCAAGTCAGGAATATGGCAGTTGTTATCAAATAGTTCGTTTCTATGTATGTTGGCGTTTGTTTTTGTTGCACTTCAGTGTTCCTGTTGTTCCTTTGTTTTCCTCTTATAGTTGATGTGTTTCCCTCGGTTTTAGTTTGTTACCCGGATTTGTTTTCTATCAATCAATTTATGACTTTTGAACACCGGTATACTACTGTTGCCTTTATTTATAGAGAAAAAATCATGGTGTTGTCACTGTGTAAGGCTATATAGACATCTTAGAGGAGATACAAGCGTATCATCTGTGAAAGGTTTCGAGAGTCGCTATGTTCCAAAATCTTAAACTAGGGCTCGAAATTTGAACCCAAGTCCTTAACCATATAATTATTTTCTTATTTACCAAGACAAGACAAGTTGAATGGTGTATTTTTTTGGGCCTTGGGGTCATCCCCATCCCCTCATGCCATTCGTCTTAAATACACTTGAAATGTTTTTCAGGATCCCACTCCCAAACCATATATTTTATTATTCATAATGAAGAAACAAGTCAAATGGGTATATTTTTGGGCCCTGTGAGCCATTTCCACCCCTTCATACCAGTACCCTTTAATAGTATTGAAAGTGGTTGAGAACCCCACCCCTAAACCATAGAATTTCATATTGATCACGACGAGACAATAGTAACATTATGTATGCTTGATATATTACAAATGTTTGGCAGTTTGTTCGATTACATGAACAGGGTTTTCTCCTTATTTTTTTAGAGAAAATCCCAGCGTAAAACTGTCATTAGGAATCTAGGGAAGCGTTTTTCAAAGCAGGAAATACAGAAAGCTATAGGGAAGTTTTTTTTAGAGAAGAAGACACAATTACAGATTTAGGAGAGTCTGGTCCACGGGTTAGAATCGTTTCCAATTTGGGATATTCAACTAAAAGACATTGAAAAAATGGATCACAAAAAACATCCTGAAATTCAAAGAAAGGTTAATCGATAAGGTTGAAGGAACATACACACATGTTATACCGGATGATAACAATGTTTAAACGCTACAGGAAGAAGGCAAATTAATAAAGCAAAATAAAATGGAAACTCTCATGGAAGAAATGGATATGACTAAACCTGAAGTATATGATAACAACATGGAAACAGATACATCGGATGAAGATGCAGTTAATCCATGGTAAAAAAAAAGAAGTCGTGTCATGATGCATTGACAACAAGCAAAAAGAACGTTAGCCGATAAACATTATTCTACTAGAGTACTATTCCAATGTAATTGAACATTTAACACAAAACAAAAAAGATGATTAACAAATGACTCCAATAAAGGATTCAGACCTAGGATATCTGAAAAGAGTATTAAGAAAGTCACATGAATTACAAAGTCAATCAAAGCCCGATTGTGTAAGACATAATACTGAAATTTCTGACCATTACTTTGTTGGAGAACTAATTATAGATAGTGAACACCTATCGAAAGAGACATTACGAAACCAGAAACCCTGGACTCCCTCTCAATTTCCACCAATTGAAAAATGACAAGGGCTATGTAACGCAATGCAGCAACGACAAGTCCAAAATAATTTCTACAGATTTAGTTTCGAAATACTGAAACTGAGAAAGATACGGAAAATTCAATTGTAGCAAATGATAGTGTCACTGTACTTGCCGACAACTCAAACAATAGCAGTGATAATTGAGTTATACAAGACAGACCAAATACGTAAGACATTACCGATCCAAACCATCAATGGGGCGCAATAAATAACATCAAAGTGGAGGAGCAGAACATTTTGATTGAGGAACTAGTGGCAAAGTTGAAAGGAAAACGTATACATCAAAAGGTACGAATGGGTCAGCCACCGTAAATCAGAATGAAAATAATACTTAAAACTGAAAAAGACCATGTAAAATAATTTTGCAAGCATGAAGATCAAAGTAAAGATGGTTGCTGTATTAAGTACCGAACTCTAAGGAAAATTCAAAACTGAAAGTCTTTTATCAAATGGCAAAATCAAAATCTCAAACACATCAAACGAATGGAAAACAACTGTCATATTCCTGACTTGGTACAGGCATTTCCTTATTATAATCTTAACCACTATTTAAACAAAGAATAAAGAAAAACACAATAGCAAATAGACACATCCAACAGTATATCTGACGGATGACGAATGAAAGTTTTTCAAAAGAGATTTTTTGTTGTTGTTGTTATTAAAAGTTGTTTTGCTTGTTTTGGTTTTTTATTTGCACAGATGAATAAAAAATTATTTTCTCATATAAGAGCAAATATATCATATGACATTTCTATTCTTACTAATTTATGTACACATACACATTGTAAAAAATAACTTATTAATCAATGAAAAGTATGGCAAAAGCATTTCAACTCTTGTCAGAAATATCTTCTCTATTATTTTTAACAGCAATCAATTTTTCGATGCTGTATAAAGACTTCATTTTACTTTGCACTGCCTACAAAAGCTTTTTTTTTTAAACATTTGCAGTTGGAGATATATTGTTTTATTTGCAAATAAATCAAACTTGCTGCATCCCCCTTAATGATTTTGTTATATCCCCAAACAGAAAACTTTTTATGGTAAATGGAATACTTTTACCATTAGACAAAAACCAAGGGTCAATTTCATCAATGAATGTTTGGACAATCTCACAATTCCAAAATAAATGTTCAATTGTTTTTGCTTCTACTTGGCAAAAAGTGCAATTTGGATTGTCAGCGACATTAATTTTATTCAAAAATGTGGAGATCCCTCGTAACACGTCAATACCATTCCTTATCATCTGCCGAAGAAAAAATGGATGGTGCAGAGGGGAAATGCTAGAATTGAAAAAAAAATTCCAAATTCTTAAATACATCGCTCTGCATGGAACTACCATATCTACGAATTATCAGGAAGTTAAAAGGGCTTATAACAACTGTGCAGGATTTCGATGTTTTGAAGATTGCCTAGAAAGGTAGAAAATTTACTCAACGCGTTGGAAGAAGCAAACAAACTACACAGGACAACTGGGACAAAAAGCCCCCAAAGGATCCAGGAAACATTTGGTAAACATCAAAATCCTCCACGTGAAAAAAATAGAGGTAGACTACAAAACATTGCAGCCAAAATTCATCTAAAGCTAAGTCAGAACAGGAACATCAAAATAATCAGGAGAACATTTCAGAAGACGGGCAGACCCATGGAAAAGGAACTATTTGTCTAAGACAAGACAGAGACATCGCCCTTGACGACAAAGAATTCAACTTTATCAAATCAAAATAAAGAGGCTTACCAAATATAGGGAACACATGTCGGTTTAATGCATGTCTTGTGACATTAGCAATAGTAATAGCAGACATCTTGCAATTGGCACTTAATTAGTTCTGTGATGATTTCAGCTTATGTCCAAGAATGACTGATGTGTTGAGATTGATGGAAAAAATGCACAGATATGGAGCAGATATTTCCGAATATGATATAGAAACTGGTGTGATATCATGCCAGCAGATTTATGGTATGCTTCCACTACACCAGATGCTGAGGAATATTTGGTGCTGTACTACATGACTAATACAATGCTTTGGGAGATGATCACAAGACAAAGGTTTTGGAGTTTTTATGGATGTTAAAACATAACATTAAAACATTCCCTTGTGAAGATTCAAATATGTTATGACAAGCATAGTAAATTGCATATTAAATATTGGGGCAAAATTATTAGGCAAGAGAGTATTAGCTTGAAATAACATACTAAAGAAGGGCAAATTTAATTCCATTTGTGACCCAAAATTTCGTTTAACTTTGAATATTTCTTTGTTCAATTATTTTTGATAAATCCTAGCTCAAAAATAATTTCCAAGTTTCAGTTTTGGAACATAGCGTCTCTCAAAACCTTATGTAAATGATTCGTCTGTATCTCCTATACAATACTTATATAACCATACCTAGTAGACCCTCCTCCCATTATTTTTCTCTAGAAGCCCTGGACTATTAGAATTCCAGATACACATACTTTATGCAGACAGACTAACTATGTACATTACTTTCTATCAACATACTTGTATCCGGATCGAACATGTCTTGGTACTTAGGAAGTATAGAAAAAACTGTAAAGATGTAAAGTATGAGATAGTAGTAAAAACATATACATTTTTTGTACCTGCTGGATAACGTTCTGAAATGAAACAGCTATCATCGAAATCCCCAGTTACTCCATTGTAAAGACAGTGATACATTGACTCGTCAGCACATTTTCTGATCGCTACTAATCGCCACAAAGCTGGCGCTGGACATACTGTGAGTGATTTACTGAATGCTGATGTCAATACAATCTAAATAGAGATTAACTTGTCAAAAAAAAAAACTACAAAAAAAAACTATACAAATGTAAACTTTCATTTAGGTGATTAAAGTAATTTTAAGACATATTACTTGGCTTCATCTATTTATCATACATTAAAGGTATTGAGAGACCCACAAAACAACTATTCTTATATTGTATTCAAATAAAGATGCATGTTCCAATCTTTTATTCGAAAACACTTATCTTTCATATGTATTAGAACCGTGTAAGAGGACTTGCAGTTGCTTACTCGCCTCGATTGCGGGAAAAATTCTTTTACATTCAAGGCATTGTGTTTCACAGAGAGTTAAATATCAAACAATAATATGTCACTACCGCATATCGGCCTCCTCTAAACATTTGAAGGTGCCTACTATGTTTAGATTACCTTTTAAACTACACACACACAAAACTAGCAAATATCGTTATATTTTAGCTTCCAATAGTGTTCTACTACTAATGTTTCTGTGCCTTTAACTAGTTCCCTTTAGAATTAAAGAACTTATTATTCACTTTAGCAATCAAGAATATAACAAAAATGGAATAAATATTTTAGGGTAAACAAACTGCATATTTTAGATACATTACGTGCTTTTGATGGTCCTTTCATTCGGTTAACAGTTCTGACTTTTCAACATTTTACTCTACACCTCAACACAATCTTATCAAAAAGAACTTTTGTTATCTAGTAAAAAGGTTTTTTGAAAAATACGATGGCAGATTAATCTGCTGCAACTCATTTAAAGCCTTCTTCTGTAATGAGAAGGATACGAGCTGTGCATTTTCTCCTTGACAACATTTATGTGCATTTCGACAATTAAGTTGACCGACAGGTTGCAGGTATTCCCATGGGTAACAATTAACCCCTTTAAATACAAGTTTTAGACTTGTTCCTGTATTGTAATGAATCGCAGTCAATGGACAAATTCAGTGAAGATCCATCTAAATTCCATTTAAATGATAGATTTTTTAACACCGCTACCTTGATGATTTTTTTTTGTTCTTAATATACCAGACTTCTTTAATTACCCGTAGTTTTATTGAAAACGTGATATCACATTCTTATTTAATTGGTAATGTTGTTTGCAAAGCCCGTAAATTTTAGTACGATCCAAGTTCATTCTTTTCTCGGAATTTTTATGACGTCTTTACACTAAATCCGTTGAATGTGTACTGATTGATATTTTAATCTGTTGCATGAGAACATGATTTGCTTATTAGTTGTTATTGACTTTGAACTAGCTTTCAGTTACTGCAAGTACTTTTCCGATTGATACTTTGCATCTTTTGTCTTAATGTAAGCTTTTTTCGTGCTACGTGCCGATCTGACGAGTTAAGTCGTTTCGAATTTATTTTTAGTTTGTTCTTATATTATGCTGTTACACCACTGTCCAAGGTTATGTGGAGGGTTTAGCGCTCACTGCCACATTTTATATGTGCCTGTCCCAAGTCAGGAGCCTGTAATTCAGTTATTGTCGTTTGTTGCTGTCTGCCTTTTTTTGTCATAAATCAGGCCGTTTGGTTTTTTCGTTTGAACTGTTTCTCATTGTGTCATGTCGGTTATGGGTTTTACTCAGTGTTGACGAACGTAATTTGACGTATAACTATTCAAATCCGCTTCATTTGGACTCTGTTTGATATTGTCTCATTGGCAGTCATACAACATCTTCTTATTTGATATTGTCAGAACAGGTCAAATGGAAAACGTAACTTCCCAAGACTTATTCTCCCAACATTCTTTAAACCTACCACATGTTGATGTTTGTTTTTGCAAAGATACAACAGATCAATGTTTATCTTGTCAAAATTTATACTCTTAAGATTAGATATTACCACATGTTTGAAATAGCTACATATACCAAAACATGTAGGTCAAAGTTAAGCTTGTCGAGGTTAACACGAAACAAATAAGGTACGCTTACAAAGATACATAAACCACAGATAAGTTAACACCCTCATATCTTCTTTAATTCATACACGATCATGATGAAGATGATCCATGTCAGGGCTTGTCACCCAGCATTTGTTTAGATTCGCAACAAGAGGATATAAATGTCCCAAATCTGGACATATCAATATTTAAGGCAGGACAGATAAATGTTTAACTTTCATATGTTTACCTATACTCACAAAAAGAGTTTAATCCCGCCGCGTGCTGATATAAGTTCCCAAGTTGAGGAATGGTAAATTTCTATACTCTTAAATTAGTTTAATTCCGCCACATGTTGATATGATTTTAACAAGGTAAAACAGGTCAATATTTACATGTAGCTTGTTTCTTGTTAAATAATGCATAACAAGGATAACACGAATAAACAACAGCAGACTCCTTCGAAATATAACATAACAACACATGGTCCAGATAGTGTGACCTTGGTCCAGATAGTGTGACTTGGTACATGCACAGAATGTGTTAGGGTCAAACCAGTTCCACATGAACACACATCTCTTCTCCTTCACATGTATCTAGACCAGATGTCGTAAACTTTCAACACACGATAAAATACTGTACAGTGCAGCTACCAACAGGATGACCACTAGCTTGAACAAGGAAATACAAAACGACACATAATGTAGAAAGCAGGGTCAAAATAAGCTTGTCATCAAATGAAGGTGCTAAGCTACATTTTTTAAAGTAACTACAGGTGTTGGTTGGATACTGCAGCTCAAGAAAAGAAAAAAATCAGAAACAAAACTCGTTGATTGTTTCATGAAGTCTCATCATAAAATGTAATTGAAATTTCCGAATATGTAGTTTCCAAAAACTCCGAGTTGTTTGCCTGTTTTCTCCTTGGGGATTTTAAGCCGTATTCTCTTTTATCAACTTTTGTTTACTCTGGTTTTCTTCCTTCAAATAAATAATGGCTGAAAGAAAATGCTCTAGAACTTGAAGATACAAAGTCCTGGTAAAGATCAGACTTAAAATTGATTTCGCCATAAAAAGAACTAAAAGATCATGAAGATAGCAGGTTTAAAATTTAGCCTGCCAGACGCATGTCGTTTTGTTAACACTCGACTCATAAGTGGAGTTCGATTCAAGATTCAAGACTTGAAGGCTGAATCAATGACGTAGTTGAAGATTGTTCAAAACCCAAACTCCAAAAATGTTATCCACATCTAGCTTTGGCTATTTATGTATGATGGTAGAAAGCCTTTTGCGTTTCGAATGATTTTAACATTCTTAGAAATGATTTTATTTTGAGTCATTCTTATTATTGATGAAAATCGCTTATCATATTATAATTGTATATTTGAATAGTATAAAGAAATGAAGAGGGGGGAATATTTCAAGTGAAATCTTACATTGCCAGTAATTATTAGAATACATATCAGTCTGTACAACGCTTGAACTCTTTCTTCCATCATGTTGTTTTAATATTCATTTTCTGCAATAAAAACTGAAAAATATTAGATCTATATTGTAATAAAAGAACATAGTTTCAATGTCCCCCGCGTTGCACGTATTTTGTCTGTCCAAGGGCTTTTTTTTATAAATATCTGAAAGAAAAACCCTTACAATGCAACTTTCTGTTATAGTTATACACCGAGAGATAGGTGTGTCTGGATAAGAAACCCCGTCGGCCGGACGCCGGAGGGGTTTCTTTTCCAGACACGCCGTATCCCGAGGTGTATAACTAACTTACACCCCATTCTAAACCCTATATTTGTTAACATTGATTATTAAAGGAAAAAAAAACGATAGCATATTTATTGACAATATCAAACGATGATTTATAAGAATGTTTTTTATTACATGAAACCCAACTAGTAACCTTACTTTGGTTATCTTCGTTCAAACTTTGACAAGTGAGTATATTTTACAAATGTCAAAGTTGTTTTGCATATTCGCGTTAAATTCTGTGCTAATATGGATCAGCAGGTCAAGGTTGACTCTTTCGTGTATTCTTATTACAAACAAAAATACAGTTGTCAATATGGACGGGTATAAGACAGACGACATTTTATGGCAAGCGTTGGATTTGGTAGAAGAGACTAAAGATAAAGGCAATATTATAACCCAAAGTACTTACCTGTATCAGTTTAATAAAGGTAATCATAACTGTATTTTATATATTACGATTTAATCAAAAACAAAAGCCCCCCTCTCGAGAATAAACAAACATTCATATTCGAACATACTAAGGGATAGGTGTGTCTGCATTAGAAACCCGACTACCAGACACGCTCAACATACAATATAGAGGAACTCCCTTTTGGGGGCAATCAGGGACTGATCCTGCCGGGGGTTCCCAACTCAATAGAAAAGGGGGAGGGGGGGGTCCAACCATTCAAATGCATTGATCTTTTAAATAAAAGTCAAGTCCAACCCGCGGAACCCCAACCCTGGATCGGCCACTGGGTAAACCGGGGGGGGGGGGGGGGGGGGGGTGGGGGGGTCCGGAAGTTTGAATCCTAATTTTTTTATTTAAAGATCAATGCTTTAGAATAGAGACATATGACTGGGATAAGAAAATTACCTTAAAAAAAAGAGTATTTAAAGGATTATTTTTGTATTCCATATATAGATGCTTATTGGAATTTCCTAAAATGTGTGTTTTTTTAATATCATGAAACAATTTGTAGTGAACACTATTACTAATTTCTTATGTCCATGCTATTTAAAAAATAATTAGTTTCTATTGTTACGAATAACAATGGACTTTGTTTGCGGGATGTAGAAGCAGGGGTTTCCAAAAACCCCGCTCGTCACACCCTGTGGTCAAAATCCATTGATATTCGTAACAATAGATCTATTCAATTTACACTTGTTTCAGAAATAGAAACTATGAAGTATAACAATAGAACTCGGGTGTAAATATAATAAATATTTACAAGGGCATAACTCTTTTGAAAATAGTTGATCGATACTGATTTCCAAACTCGTCAGAGACATTGCTAATTTAAATCTTTGATCAATATAAGTTTGATGAAAATCTTATCTGGCAAGAATTGTACTTACGAAGCAATTTTCCATATAAATAATATTTCCAAGGCACATAATTCTTTTTAAAAAGTTGATCGGCACTAATTTTCGAACTTGTTGGAGACATTTCTGATATAAACCTCTGATTTAGTTTGATAAAAATTTGTCAAGAATTATACACTTGAAAGTGCTTACAATGCAATTTTCAATAGAATTATTAGTTTCAATGTGTATAATCTGTGAAAGATAGTTGATCGGCACGGATTTTCAAACTCGTCCAAGTAATTGCTGCTATAAACCTCTGATTTAAGTTTGATAAAAATCTGGAAAAATTTGAACACGTGAGAGCGCTTACAAGACCAGACGGACAGACGGACACACACACTCCCGATATATTTAGGTCCCCCGCAACGCGTCGCGCGGGGGACAATTAGTATTTATTATTATTTCACAATACTTAAGCAATTGCTATTTCAGGGTACGGTGTGATTCTGTAAAAGGATTTGTTTGACCATGCAGTTTACTGTCGATCAAAATGAACACAGTATGGGTAAAACTACATGCAATTGAGGAGGTTGAATAAACTTTGAACAAGAGGTCTGTCGTGATGTTTTTGCTAAATTTTCCAAAACGAAAAAAAAGTTGCTAAATACTGCAGGGTCGACACAATTTTATATTTATAATGATACATACGAAAAGTATTTAACTGAGCGATATTTTGCAAGTCGCGAAATACGAGAAAACTATAAGAATATTAATGAATTTTAATTAAATCAATCGAAGTCTTAAAAACATCATTTATAGCCATTTATTAGTAGAATTAAAGTGCAATTTAAGATAATTACAATTTGTTGATGACATAATAGCTCTACAATCATGTACAATAAGAAGGTATTTGATCCAAAAAGTTATTATTTTATGGTACATGTATATAGCTTCAATGTAAAGATATCATACATTTGTTGTTTTGTACTTGTAATCAGGCTAGATTGCTTCTGACCTGTATGTGTATAATATAAAATATGAAAGTTCATACATGTACATAATGTTTCTATGACTCACTGATAACCGTAAAACACTTATATGTCTAGTTATCGAAATTAATGAGACAGATAAGAGCTGAGTGACAGTAATACTTTGCAGTAAATTATAGGCCTACTTAAATAAATAAAATAATCACACTTCCCCTTTGAATCATACATGTCATATTCTTTCAATCAATTCGTATAATTTAAGAAAAGTACCAACATTTGAAAAAAAATATGGATGTATGTGAAGGGAGTAGAACTGAATGAAGGGCATCAAAGTTAGACTGACATAGAATGGTAAAGAGGACATTTTGAATATGGACAGACATTGTGTCTTGCAAAAAGCCTGTCACGTACCATTCAAATAGTTGATGCACACATTCATAAACATGTCGGGAGCATGGCACTTTCCCAATATAGAGCATCGGATGTAAACCTCCCATTCTGTACTTACGGTACTGCACAATTTAAAGAGGAGCATAAACGTTTAATATATGAAATCGAAATACCTGCTTTACTATTAAATAGAGAAAAAGGTAGAGGTCAGTTTAGCTTCAGATTCAGTAAGAACAGGATACTTATCAATAAGTCGATTTTCATCAGCAACAGCTCCAGAATGATTCTGTTATGAGAAGGATGCCTTTGAAGTTTTAGAATGGAATCGAAATTGGATATATGTTTTCGACAAAGTTAACAGAACGCAGACATATGTCGACAAATGTGAATAGCTATACTTACAATATGACTACATGCACGTCGCCACTTTAACAGTCGATATTATATACACAAACAATTATAAAACTACAATGTATGTGACATATGTCATGATGAATAAATATAAATTGGTTGATACAGGTAAACAAATATATATATAAACACAAGAAAATATTAAATTTTGTGATTTATTTAAGTCTTTCATACATTGACCTATAAATTATCATTCTGAAGGTGAGTTAAAGTCAAATTTATGTGCATCGATATGCACCAAGTTCTCATATTTGATTTATAACATAATGAACCGTATGATTTAGAAATTACAAAAAGTCCATAAGAAACAATAAACAATTATACATATATTCGTTATTATGTATCAGCATTTCGGGTGCATGTTAGACAAGACGCCATCCTAGAACCTGATACAAAGAAATGGTGATGACAGGAAGCTCCCTTGATTCACTTTATAATGTTGACTTTTTTTTACTTTTGATTTTACTGAATGAACATGCTGAACATATGCGCAGCCCATCTTCCGCTTAGGGTTAAATTAAAAGTTGCATGGATACAGATTCAAATGAGGTCGAATTATTGATTTGCAAGCCAATAATACATCAGCTATGCTTTTGACAAAATTAAACCAAACTAACTGCTAATTCCGAAATATTATTTCTATTTTCCTCTTTTATAATTGTTTGGAAAAAAAATCTTATTTTACTTGTTTGTCTAATTTGTAGCTTATGCCCCTTTAAGAGTATTGGCTAACATTTCCTGTTATTTTTCATTTTGCTTTGATTGATTGATTACGATTGTTTGTTTTTTGCTAAGCATCTAGTAACACATATTATTTCGTTCATACACGAAAAGCAAAATAACCATATGAAAGAGTGTCTCTGGAAAGTGAGTTTACAGGAACGAAGGGTTGACATATTGACTGTCAGTGAAAAATGTGGGTATGTTGGACAGTGACAGAAAGTAAGTCTGGCGTCTGGAAATATGAAACCCACAGACTTCTAGAACTAGAGGCTCTCAAGAGCTTGTGTCGCTCACCTGTATCTACTGCGGTTTTGGAAATCATGTAAAATAATGTTAAAATCATAATAAATAGTATTAGATACCATAATAATGATTGAGGCCAAGTTTATTATAATTTGGCCAAGTAGTTCAATTAAAAGCAGAAGATTTTTGAAAAAAGTTTACAAAAGTTGCCAATAAATTGCAGAAAATGACTTTAAAGGACAATAACTCCAATAACCAAATTGAATACCCCTCCTCTATTCAAAATTTATTTCACCCAGGGCCTGTATAATGCTGGAAATGCCTTTAAATGTTTTGGGAACACCCTTCAAAAAAATTTGGAAGTTTAATTCTATTTGAACCAGTACATTAAGTGGAGAAAATATTTGGTAAAAGATTACAAAAATTTATGAAAAATTGTTAAAAAATTTACTATAAAGGGCAATAACTCCTTAAGAGGTCAATTGAAAATTTTGGTCATATTGGGCCAGGTGAGATAAAAATGTTGCACGAGTTCTTACAGTACTCTCCTTACACGAGACATCGGATTAAACATTCCCGTTGTGTCCATACGTGGCTGTATATTGTACATCCCACACAGCCTAAAGGACCTTCTTTTTTAGCATGCGTATTAAGTGTTACTGCTGGTTTGGAGGAGATAAGGGATGGCCATATTGTCATACCCTAGTCAATACTTAAAGTTCTATTTTTATATTTGTTTTTTTAAATATGAACTAAGATATTTAAATTTGTTTAATTCCAGGATTATTCTATTATCTGTATTTCAGCAACTAAATTAACAAGGTATAGAAATATGGTCACTTCGACTTTTTCCTTCCGGTAGTAAAAACATCCAAGTTTTGTCATAATTGGGACGATAGATCTGATACCTCGTGTTGTATAAGTGAACATTTGCAATAACTATTTTGGCGTTGTTCGTAGATGCCCTACTTTAAAATGTAGGCCCCTAGTTAACCTACTCTTTATTTTGGTGGAAGTCAAAATATTCCACCCTTCATCTCATTGGATCCACTATGTAGAGAATAGGGGTTGATTTATTGTTTAATTTATTTTCAATCTGCACACTTGAGATGTATTGGATACTGGACATAACTTGACCCAAATCACCCGTCATGTTGCTTACAATAAGTACATATTCGGCGAATAATCTCATTCGTTGATGTCTTAAACGAGAAAGATAAGTAAGTTAAGCTGTTGATATATAATGACCAATAGGGAAGGCCAATTGTGTTGTCGAAAGGGTCTGTATATAGGCCGTCCGTTTGATCCACGTTTGTATTTGCTATAGCTCATGTACCGCTTAACAGCATTAACACATTTTCTGACACTTTCACAGAATATTATTACTAATGTTAAAGATTATTTTGTTTGCAATGTGTTTTTTGGTGTAGAGTTTCCATTACGCAGTGATTTTTTTTAAGCACTGTAATTTCACATTTTCAAATTGATGTATTCTTTTGAAATATGAAGAATACCACAATAAAAATCCCTTAAGACAGATTGAGAATGGCATACTAGCCTTGACAAGTGCTTAATTTTGTAATTATGATTCTTGCTGGTAGGTTGTATGTGCTATAGTAATCCTTCATTGTGTGAAGAAAAAAACTGACGCAACTCTGAAAGCCTTTTTGAAGTGTAAATGTGTATGAGTAACAGCCCACGTAAATACCCGACGAATACCATAGTATAACTGTCATTCTCGTATATCCTGATCAGCAGTAGTAATCAAGTGATGATTTACTTTATTCGAACCAACCACGTCTTCAAAGCCTTGGACATGATTTTAAATGATTTCCAAATCACACCACAAAATGGATTATTTAATTATAGATATAAGAAGATGTGGTATGAGTGCCAATGAGACAACTCTCCATCCAAGTCACAATTTGTAAAAAGTAAACCTTTATAGGTCAAAGTACGGCCTTCAACACGGAGCCTTGGCTCCGAACGAACAGCAAGCAATAAAGGGCTTATGCAGGTATACATGACATACACCATCACGTATCAATATCTAAGAATGACTTTTGTAATACATATTCAACATTACTGCCAAATATACATCTCATTTGATGTCTTGTCTTATTAATTGCAATTGTTCGATCGTTTTATCATAACTAAAGTTTTCATTTACTGAAATTTGACCACATACATCGTGGTTAACAAATTTACAACTGCCATACTTTTGAATAATATTGTTTGCTTTTCCATTCTCAGCAAACTCGATTAAAACGCTTATGTCTTTTGATCCTATTTTATCCCATTTTGCTATATTAAAAAGAAAATCACCAACTGCTTCATAATTACCAAAGTATACAGCAAAATCTAATGCCGACATTTTTTCCTCCTAGTTCCGACTAAGAATACTATTTTTACCAGATAAGTGTATGTAGTTGATAGCTGAATGACGTAGAGCTTTCGAAATTCGCATTATTAATGGATTTTCTCTTCTGTACCACCAAAGAATACAGTAATGCAAAATAGTATTTCCATGCTCATCAACAACAGTCTTTAAAATCCCGTCTAACGAACTTTGATTACACTTTTCCGAGAAAAGTTCATCTATTTCAGATAGAAATTGTATTTTGTCTGATATTTGGAAAACAATAATCGACCATGCCAAAGCAAAGTCAGTTGGAGTATAAATAACTAAATCAAGACTTGAACAATTCAACGTTAATTTTTTGGTCACCAAAAGCATTAGTTTTACTCGGTTTTCTGTCGTCAAATTTTTCAAACGTTTGTCTAAATATGTCATCGTTTTTTGCAAGACAGCTGAAAATTTATAGCTTTCAATATATTTGCATATTAGTTCCGATGAGTGCTCCGTATGCAAACAAGCCTCTGCAAAACGCTTGGCTATAATATCAAATCCACTTCTCAGCTTGTCCTTGTCTACAATTAGAACAGTTTCCTCCTCATTTAACTTCACGTATGTTAGAGGTCTTAAAACATCAAGAATTGCTTCTAGGTCGCAATGTTGTAAGACTAGTTTGAGACATTCAACATCTATATTAGCATGTGACAATAAGACTGCATGATAGGTAACAGGGCGAAGAAAATAGTCTCCACTTTCGTTACATTTTAAATAATGCAAATTCATACTTTGGCAAGCGCTTTTTATGAGCGATTCTTTTGAACAATTCTGTTTAAAAACATACCTGCATATTCCGTTGATTTTTTTCGTATCTATATCGTTCAATTGTAATCAATTGTCTGGGTTAATGAGGATATATACCAAAGTACAATATTTGACTCTGTCTGTTATACTGTTCATACCGGTGGTGCGAAGTTCATTGATTTCGTCAATTAAACCTCGCTGTAGTAGTCTGAAATATCTAGAACCAAATTTAAAATAGCTGTCTGTGCTACAGAAAGCTGCACAGTGAATCGGAAAGGCACCAACTGTTTGTGCAGTGATTATTTTCTTGATTTCTATTTCATCTAATTTCCTTTTATTAAAATCTAAGTGAAACAGTAAATTCGATTCTCTGTCTTCTCTACTGAATGAATCATCTAGGTCAAGGTTTACAATGTTAGATTCGGTCCAAATTCCAGCTGATTTTAATTTTTCACAATCTGTATTATCAGCTGAATTCACAGTGACTATTGCTTTACACTTGCTTGTCACTTGAATATTTTTTAAAGCATTGATAATGCTTTGAGGCCATATTTTGTCTTTTGCACACGTGTCAAACCATTCTTCCAAAACAATAACATATTTCACAAAAGATTTTTTTATGGCGTTGAGGCGATGTACGTTGGTGTTATCCAGTACTATCACAGTGTAATTATTCTTTCTGTAAATTGTTGATAATTGCATAGCCAAAGAGGTTTTCCCTGAACCGTCTTCTCCTTTTATAATTAAAATACTATTGTTATCAAATGCAATCTTTGCTTTTTTAAAAGCCTCTGTGTCCGTTACACATTGTATAGTGCTTGTATCTGAAAAAACAATTTCAAATTCACGACCAAATTCATAATAATTAATTGTAATATATGTAAATGAAAAACTTCAAAAATACTAATTGTTGCTTACTAGTAGAGTATTGAAAGAAAATGGTCAGTACAATAATATAAAATATCCTTTTACAATCTTTAAGACAAATTAACGATTGAATCATTGAATGGCATGAAAGAACGATAATTTTCTCTTAGACATGTTAACGGTTGAATTATTGAATGGCAGTAAAGTACGATGATTTTCTTTTAGACAAGTTAACGGTCGAATCATTGAATGGCAGTAAAATTCGATAATTTCCTTTGTTTTGAATAATACGAAACACTTCTTAATCTAAAGCCATTTTCCCATCTTAATTTGTAATAAACAAAGAATGAACTGTGTTTAATGTTGACTTTTGTTACAGCGTGCAGAAAAATTTACAGCAACTGGATAAAAATAATGTGAAATATATTGCCTTACCTATAAGCTGGGACAGATCAAATTTCTCCACAAGTGCAAAAACTAATATCCAAAACCAAACTGAAAAATAAGCAACAAGTAATAAATATAATTATAAAGAATTTTATTCTGGCTGTACGAAAGAAAAGAAACACAAAGAGAAAATGTCTTCGTATTATTATTTATCCCTTAATCTTTCATAATCAGTAGTAGTGGGGCGGCTTAGTACCGAAATTTGACAAAATCATGCAAATGGTGATACAAGCATAGGATTTGGAACATACGTTCTTTAGGGTGTACTTAAACATATTAGAGGAGTAGCCAACATATTTTTGATTTTTTTCACGGCGGCCATCTTGAATTTAAAATTGACATCATTTTTGCTAAATATTTGAAATTTTAATGGGATATAGGTCATGGCAACTACTTCAAATACAACAAAATGACATGAAAATATGCAAAACAGACAGTAATTGTAAAAATAAATCACCACTTCCGGTTAGGGTTGTAAAAGTTCATATAATCAAGTTAAATGATAGTGGTAAGGATATGCTATAAAAATGTCCGTTTTTATATAATTAATTATTTAAGACATGCAGAAAGGTCGATTAATGTATTAATCTACCATATTTTTCCGATGTATTTCGTTCTAACATGTACAGGAACACAATATTGTACATGTAAAACCAGGTTTGTAGGACTTGAATCTACCAGAACACCAGAACAAGTTTTCTTGCATCCACATTTTTGTAACTCCTGGCGAGATGCTGCAATGGCTGCCAATTGTGTCCAATTTGGAATCCACAACCCCGTCTGCGGTCTAATTAATCCTTCCCCAATCGCCCGGACTAGGTAGACGTTGTTCATGTGTGACTACATGTCCCCAACCATTACCTCCTTGGTGTGCAGCTCGTTTCGTGTGCTCAAGCAGTGTAGCTCCTGTGGGCGAAATTGTGCCATACTGTCTTTGTTTGGGTACAAACAATTCAAGCCTGGATTCTTTGAACGTCATATGTTGTTGTAAGTCTGTCGAACATAACTACAACAAATGCCTCTATCAACTCCATATCAGCTTCACTGACCAATGCAGGTGTTTTACTCAAGCGCCCAAACACCTCGATTATATCATCAGATATTTCCCACGTCTGCCATGCCGACTTCTTTCCCTTTCCACGAAAAGTGGAGACAGTGTCACATCCAGTTAAAGCGTGGAAAAATGGCAAAACCTCTGATTTAGGACTAAGACAATTATCAATTTCGTTAATCGGAAGCCATCTCGCAGGTGTTTTCCTTTTCCAAATGCAATCCAAAGTTTTTCGACTTGTAGTGTCTTGAAAAAAGCTGATCTGAGCTGATTATCAGTGTCGACTTGCACCCTTTTCAGTTGCACTTTTGAAATGAACAAATATCCTTGTATCTGCTTCCTCTTGATTACAAGGACCACTCATACTCATTCTGTTAACTCATGAATAGATAGTCGTAGTTAAGAATGGCAGTAACATCCTCGGGCAGAATAAGTGGTTCTGGTTTTGTTTTAAGATATGCAGGTTTCATATTCATGTAAGCATCAGGGAGTTCAGGTACCTTTTTAGATTTTGGTTTACTTGTAGGTAATATTATCTGATCCCCTCTAACGACAACATTTTCTTTCATTGGATGTTGAAAAATAGAGATTCCGGTCCCATGAAATACGATTTTGAAGTTGTTGAGCTGGGGTTGTGGTCTATGTTGTCGACCACAGCTGTGGTAATTACTTTGCAATTAAAAAAAAAAGGCGAACAAACCACACTCTCATTCAAATAACGTTCAAGTACAGCTTCAACTAGTTAAGTTGATATATCTAGTACATGGTCATAAGAGATGCATAACCCATGTTGAAACAATGTACCTATAAGGTGTCTTTTCCTGGTGTTTGCAAAGAGTAATAGTCCAAGATACACACAAAATGGTGCCACTCAATCAGATGAATGTCTGGATGAATGTCTGTGTTGAACTGGGGCTTTCTGGGTGTTTGCATGGTAATTAAACACTAATAGTTGGGCCAGAGTTTAGTCGAACATTGTAAAAACGTAGTCTAACTGCGATTTATTATCAGGTCCATGCTCTATCATTTTCACCAACTGTAACAAAGAAGGTATGCTGTCTTTGATATCTTCAGAGACCAAGGATCCAGCAAATGTTGTCTTCTTGCTAACTGGCAGCGGATCATTTCGGCCGTCTTTGACATTGTAATCGCAGGCTAACGCGATCTAGTTGGTCCTATATCTTTTTCTAACATCAAAATGACATATCTGCCTTTTGTGTGTTCTTCTAGTTCTGGCATCTTCTGCAAAAACTTGTCCTTCATATTAAGCGCGTAGAGTGTACATGTGCAGAAGAAGAACAAAGTTGTGCCAATCTTTTTCGTATAGGTTTGCCAGGTCTGCTAACCAAAACACCACTGACTCTTCAGAATTTCGTTGTGTTTCAAAGATGTATGTAACCATCTCAGCTAATGCAGTTTCTTTCATTATATTTTCCTCCTGAGCACAACTGCTTTCGGCCTCTGTTTGTTTCTTCTTTCCTCTCTCTCTCTCTCTCTCTCTTGTATACAGCTGCGTAACAGGACGGGCGATACTTCATTTCTTTTGCTATTACATCACCACCACTTAATTTGGCAAACAGATGTCTATTCTGTAGAACTGTGGCACAATCCACAAATCGTTGGTTTCATTGTCATTGCATCACTTAAGAGGATAAAGGCAACTCTTTATTACAAATGAAACATTGATGCAAATTTTCAACGGGATCTGGTTGTTTGTCTTTCGAGCGAAGAGTACTTCTTAAAACTTTAGGGGACTTGCATTCACTCAAACTTCCAGATGGTATTGATGACATATGACGTTTCTAGGCTCTCTCAAGTTCTGTATTGTGAAACTTTATTCTGCACAAATTATGATACTTATCATTTTTCTTTTTCATTGTGCTTTCAATTTTCTCTCCGTCGTTTAATCGCCGAATATCTTGAGGGATGGATAGGTAATGCACTTTCTTTATGAAAAAGAGGGATATTTTTTACCGTTATTGTATATCCTGCAGCTGACGATTTCAGTAGGTCAGCTGTGTCTTCCTGACATAAACAACAGTTTGTCCAATCAGTCACCCAACTATTTATTGAGGAAGCTGACAAGCGAATTCTTTTCTCCATTTTCAAAAAATCAACTATTATATAAATAAACTAAAGAGATCAGCAAATGTAACGATAGAACAATAACGCAAATATTGTCTGAAGAAAATATCTGAACACTTCTGATATTCAGGTCGAGGCATTATCCTTTTACCACCTGTATAGCACTTTGTTGTATTGAATTTAACTCAATTCGGTTAATCAAGTTAAAAGTTTGCCTACATTCAGACCGATCGTTCATCCAGTATCATTTAACTCCCGTGCGATCTGTACACCATCCAGAGGAATAAGCCCCTATGGCTCGGCTCTCTCGCGTTAGGGAGCTTCTATTTGATTTTTATGGGGAAAGGGGGAGGGGGGCTAGGATGAAAGATGTTGACCTGCATTTTTTTAGTTGTAATCTCTGTTCTTCCTTTTTATTTTTCATTCTGTTCGGTCCTGTTTTTTTATCAGTTTATACTGACTTCTTTTTTTTACATAAATTGTCATCATGCCTTTTTTATGCAAAGTGTCTCATCCTGCCTTTTTTTATTCAAAACTCCTGTCCTGCCATGTTTTCAAATTTTATTCTTGCCCCCCATTACAATCAAATGGTAGCTCTCTTAGAACATCCTGTCGATTCAGGTACGACTCCATGACTTAAAAATTGGAGCAATCATGGAGTATTTGGGAGCACTTTAATCTTATAAAGCCGACACTGGACCCCATGCCGAGATCATCGGCAGTGATTTATACCAGTGTGCTCTGGATGTGCAAATAAATCACTCTCTGAAAGACTTCTAGTGATAAGTGATTAACATTAAGTATTGACTGGTAATGAATGACATTTGACAAAGTCATGCAACTTCACAATGGAATGATGCCAAGCAATGGTTAAGTACGGACGCCAAGTAAAGACTAAACACTAAGAATTGGTTATAAATAAGGTCCAAAGACCAACCTCAAACGACGATTCAAATTAAAAACTATCAACGTACTACGATTTAAACATTAGGATCAAATGTGAGATTTTTATAAAACCGGAAGTGAGTTATCGACCGATATTTGACCGGAAGTGATGTTTTATTACTACAATAACACAAATAAACCTTCATTCACTCTATCTAGTAACACTTTGGATAAAATACAAGCAATATATATGCAGAAGGGAACATACATTTGATGTCTTTCATCTGGCTAGACGTCATTTAGAAAATCAAAGATGGCCGCCATGATGGAATGGATTTTTTCGTGGCTACCCCCTTAATATGATTAAATACACATAAAGGCATGTTCTTACAAAGTTTCATGCTTGTATCACAATTTGCTTGATTTGCGTGGTAAGCTGTTCAACTATAGCAAACAAACTCAAGGATATTTGTCGGAAATTGATCTCTA